CACACACCTATACAAAAATAACCACATCCACATATGTATACACATATAAATATAGACATGCATGCACATATCCATAAATCCCCGTACAGTACATCAGTACACATACACATATCCATAAAGACAGAAGTGATTGTTCCAGAACTTTTGGGATCCTGGCACTCTGGGATATGAGAGGCATGTTGTAGGAACATGTGGAATTGAAACAAATCCTTCAGACACGAGAGAGCCAGACTGTTCAGGGCATTGTGAGTAACACGGCCATCGTGAATTATACTGGAAGCTGGTGTAAAGCTGCTAACACAGGGGTGAAGCCATTAGACAGTTCAGCTTGAATTTACACCTTGGCAGCATGTTTTACAAGCAAGAGCAAGGCTCTGTGTTACAGTGACCTGCTCTTACTTGTGGTGTTCTACTCTTAGCTTATGAGAACATGACTCAACTTTAAGCAGCTCATCACAGAATTGTGCTTCTGCACAATGACTGCAAACCTCCGAGTGAAAGGAGTAGAGTTAATGCTCACAGATCTGTGCATCGCGAGGGAGAAAAGTCTTTTAGCTTCATGGACGTGCAGGGAGGAATCAAGGATGTTGCCGAATGAGTAACACCTGCCAGTGAGTGAGGTAGATTGTACTGGTAAATGTGATGGATTAGCTACCACAGCACTTCACACTGGCTGCTCCTGTGCTTGAGCGAAACTCAGCTCATAACAGACATATATCGCACTGCCTGACTGTCAGGGGGGTAAGATGTTTGCACAGCAGTGTGTTTTTTGTTATAATACACATTTCAGCTATATTGTTTTAGTTTTGTCTGTGGCAAGTTCCAATTCATAAAGCTGGGATGAACATGAGTCATATATAAGTCACACCAAGGCCCCTCAGCAATTAACACCATGTGATAATTGAGCGCTCCATAGATTAGCGACACGTTCGATATTTTCTTTTAGAAATGCAGCTTCTTCACTGAATGTCGGCAGTTATGAAGTCAAACGATCCAATTTCACCCAGCTGTTCCAAATCATAATCATGCCCGATGCTGACTACAGACACCTCTCGCAGACGAGCTCTGCGGCGCGTCTGATCTCATGAGACCCTTCCTCTCTATCTTTGCAGCTGCATCTCCGTTACTGTACTGTGGTGCGAGAGTGCGGAGATTCGCCCTTATTCGCCCAGCAGGAGAGGGTTATGCAACCTAGTGGCCAAAAAAAGAACAAACACAACTGGCATCGATCGGCTGTCAAACAGCTTCTCCCAGTTCGGGGCGGCCGGCCGGCCGGTCCGCCCTGGGAGCATCTGAATACAGATTATTCTCTCTCCGCCATCGCCACAGCCAGGTTCCGACACACACACGATAGAAAACTGCAGCTCAGGACCTCGGCGCTCTGACGCCACCTTCCAGGCTATTACTTTTAAAAGACGAGCTGACAGGGCACAGTCTGCTGTTCAGCACACCCGCGGAGACGAGTGTCTTGAGGGGGGGGGGGGCGACCGGAGTCCCACAGTTAGTTAAGGTTAAGGGTCCGTGACTCTTTCGTTTCTGAAAGCGCCTCCAATTAGAGGGAATGTATTTTAACTTGGCTGAGATCACTCACGGACGCGCTGTGGCCCCACTCTGCCTTCTGAAAGGCTTTTGGGAAAGGAGAATGAGTCAATTTACTCTTGGGTCATTATCTGGGTTATACACAGGCCACAACCACTGGCTGGCCAAAATATTAGGAACCCCCACTGAATCTTGTGTTTGTTCCCCACAAGCACAGTTCGCAAGAGAACGGAGCCCCACCCTCTTCATCCAGCAGTCTCCTCATCAGGGTAAAAGGTTTATGAAGAACTAAACTGCAAATCAAGCTGTGTTTTTTAAGAGGGCTGAGATCTGAGGGGTTGTTCTGACCAGAGATGGCGAAAGAAGTCTGTCTCCAACCCTCTAAGATCACTCAGTCGTCTACCGCTGAGAGAGTCGGACCTGTCGACTTTGAGTACGTGGAATTGAATCGATGCAGTTGAAACATTCAGCCATCTTAGAACGAGTGAAACAGAGCAAATATCTTCCAGTTTAACATTTTTTTTTGTCCTTAAGAGTCTAACACCGGCCTGGGTCTGTTTGTTTCTTGAATCACATATCAGTCACACGTTCCATTACTGCAGTTTAACGCCTCCTAGCCTGAACCTGTCAGTCTCAGAGACTGGCAAGTCTGGGGACTGAGAGAGAGAACTCAGAGGAGAATTGGACCTTCTGGGCCAGAATTTCCAAACCTGTGGCCCATTATGGAGACCGGTCACCTTGTGCTGCAGGAGATGCATTCAGAAGAGAAGTTAAGTGCTGATGAGGTGATTATTAAAGATCCCCTTGGCTCTGTCTGGGAGAGGAGAGGTGTTCACACAGACAGGTACAGGTACCCTTCCCAGACTTGTCTTTTTTCCTGTCAAAATAATTTTAGTTTTTTCACAAAAAAACATCTCACAATAAGTACACGTTCTAGCAATATATTACACTTCAATTGATTAAAATCTTTTTTTTTAATTGGGTGAAGGTGCTTTATCCATTCATCAGTACAAGTGGATATTGGGCCTGGATTTACACGATGAAAGAATCTTTCAGAGCCCTACCGTTCTGCTCTTGTCCTTGGCTTTTCCCTGTCCAGGCTCTGAAACCGTGGAGCTCAGGGGACAGGGGTTTCTGCTCTAGTCCCTGTACAGGGCCCACAGTCCTTTGCAGCGCTCCCTCGCTGTTAAAAGCCTTGCCTTCCCAGAGTTCCCCCCTTTAACTCAGCTGGAGCAGCAGTTGCTCGTTCCTCCCCCTGCCCTGCTGTGCAGTGGGGCTCCCGGTGCACACTTATCACCCAGGTTTGGGGTGAAGTGGGTCACCCCGTGTGTGCATAACATTGCTAGATACTTTGGGGTGTAACATGTTGCATCAATCCCAGGAATCCTGATTAATTGTGATTTGTAGAGTGAGGCACAAGGCGTGGGACTGTCGTTTTTAGTTCATGTGCTGTGACGCTGGCATTTGAGATTCAGTTCACTTAGTTCCTGATTACCTGTCACACACACAAGTGCAATGAAATGCTTATTTTCAAGAATGCTCCAATACAAAGACAATAAGGAAACATCAAACTTAAACACAGAACAGCAGCAACAACAACAAGGTAAAATAAGATACAGCATAACATACACACAGCACGAGCAGTGTGCAAAAAAAAAACACATCAGTGTGAGCCAGCGGTAGGGACAGAGTTCAATAATCTGACAGTTTGTGGGAAGAAACTGTCTCTGAATCTGGAAGGTCATGCTTTTATGCTCCTATAATGCTTCCCAGAGGGCAGGGAAGAGAAAAGTGAGACATCAGGATGATTGGTGTCCTTAGCAATACTCCCAGCCTTCCTGAGACAGCGAGTTGTGAAAATGTCCATCAGAGAAGGGAGCTGTACTCATGATTGACGTTTCGGGAAATTCATATTTGTGCTGTGCTATATGCCCAAGATGTGATCGCCTTGTCTGAACCTCAGGTCCCAGCTCACCCTGGGCAGCCGCAGGGGCACAGATGACCCACCCTGCTGTGGCGAATCGGACTGGGCAGACGGCATCCTCTGTTTTAGCCCTCTCAGTGTCTCAGATCGTGTCACAGACAGCTTCACCCATCAGCCCATCAGCCCAATGAGAACTACTGCACAGTGGAACCCAGCAGGGAGTCTTTGTAGGGCAGAAAACAGGAGACACGCTTTACACACAGAGTGTTGGGTGTCTGGAACAAACCCCCTGGACATGAAGCTGATTCCCAGGGATTCTTCAAGAGATGGACGGATATCATCATGTGATCAGTTGAGCTGCTGGCGACTGGTCAAGATGGCCTTTTGTTTGGGACCATTTGGAATCTTTCATGAGAAAAGCTACTAATAATAAAAATAATAATATCTTTACACTTCTATAGCGCTTTTCTGGACACTCCACCCAAAGCGCTTTACAGGTAATGGGGATCCCCTCCAGCACCACCAGTGTGCAGCCTCACCTGGATGATGCGCCAGTCTGCTCCCCACACACCAGCTCTCAGTGGGGAGGAGAGCAGAGTGATGAAGCCAGTTCATAGATGGGGGTTATTAGGAGGCCATGATGGGTAAAGGCCAGGGGGGGAATGTGGCCAGGACATCAGGGTGGCACCCCTACTCTTTTCGAGAAACACCCTGGGATTTTTAACGACCACAGAGAGTCAGGACCTCGGTTTTACATCTCATCCGAAGAACGTCGCCTGTTACTACTATCATGGTTATGAAAACAAGAAAATGCCCTACGTTTAATTCAAGGAACGAGCTTGTATAATAAGAGGCTTCACGGTGGCGTATTTCTGCTTTCGTGTTTTTTCTCCCTTTCAGAGAGATTTTGTCTTTGTGCTCTCCAGGGGCCCCCGCACTGCGTCCAGGGCGGACTCCCTCAAAGGGGGCTTTCAGTCCCACACACTGGCCCGCTTGTCCGGGACAGGCCGGCCACTCCAGTTCACGGCCGACACCGATGTCATGCAGCCGGTCAAAGAGCTGCTTTGTGGCTGCAGGGCTGGGCCCAGCGCTCGTCGGGGGCTCGTCTCCCGAACCCCCCCCCCCGGCGGTCCGCGCCATTGTGCAGAACCAGACACTGCGTGACCCCCGCTGTCGAGACAGCCAAAGCCCAACACTGGCCTCTCTGTTGCACAGCTGGAGTCGGGGCAGAAGCTGTGCAGATGTCATATCTGTCACCTGACAATGTCTTTATGACTCTGGAATGTGCTACAATACTGGAAGAGTTATGACCCAAAGCCTCTTTCTTCTTAAGGCCCTCTGTGTCATCCAGCATTTCTTTATGCCTTCATATTGCAAACATCGAGTGTCCTACTGCTCCGTCTAGGGGAAAGGGAGACTTCTGGGCTGGGATGGCTTTTCAAACAGTGTGATCATAAGCCCCCTCTAAAGGCAAAATATTGAATTTCCTGATAAGAAAACAAAGTATGGTATTCACCCATTGGAAAATGCTATGCATTTAGCACTGAGTGGTAAAACAGCTTTTTGTGAGCCACAGCAGCTGTTTCGACCAAGACATGCCGAGCAGTGAGAGTGCTGATTTTCACGAGAACATCAGGCGTAGTACAGGAAGGTCCACTTCTGGAATTCCAGGACTGGTGCTTTATTCCAGGTCAGCTCTTAATGGCCAGCTCTCGCTATCGATCAACTATCCATCGGCTTCTCCCAGCTCTTCCGGTGCTGCTGCTTTGAAGAGACCTAGCAAGTCGGTGGACTCACCAGCTCTCCAAGACGGGACACCCCCGGCATAGCCAGTTAACCTATCCAACTAACCCGAGGAAGACCATGCAGACTCCACACAGACAGACAGTCCAGGGATCCTGCAGCTGGGAAGCAGTCATCCGCTGCTGTGTCAAGCAGTGATCCTCAATTTCCACCCGGAGAAACAACAGGAACCTGAAACTCCTGTATCCCTAGAAGGCTGGCGTTCTGTATGCAAGTGTTTGAACGTACCTGGTAAATATTTTAAGGCAGCGGTTTCCAGTCCTGGTCCTGGAGGCCCAAACCATCCCACCTGCTGGGTTCTGTTCCAGCTCAGCACTTAATTACACAACTGAACCCAACACTGACTTAATAACTGAATCAATCTGAACCGTCTGACTGTTCTCAGCTCTACAAAAGGTTGGACTTCACCTTGTATCTACTGCATTTCATAAGTAACATAAAAATCTCAAACCTTTGCATAAAAAAACGTGCAAATATTCCCATCAGGCAATTGCTAGTTCACTTGAACTGGTTCACTTGAACCAGTTGCTAGTTCACTTGAACAAGCGGAACCTGGATCCGCTTGACATCAAAACACTTAAGGATGAGCTTTTCAGGTCAAAAAGCCTTTGGCAGACAGCTAGTGGGTCCAAGTTGTTTTTTTGTGATTCTGGGTTTTCGTTTAATGAATGAATGAGGCTGGGCAGAGGGAGAGCACCTGGGTTAAGGTGAGCTCTTGGCTAAACCGCTGCCTCATACCTCTTGCAGAAGCTAAAGCTTGTTACTGTACAGACGACCCTCTCGGACTGGACAGATCTGTAAGAATACAGCTAACACACAGGATACTTATCTGGATTTCTGCATATGTCTGTGTCAGGACATTCCCCCAGCTAAGATAAGGCATCATTTTCACAGTTTCATCCCATTAGACATGGAAAAGTAGCCAATATATGTGCACTACAGATGGCACAGTGCCGAGCATTGCTGCCTCTCAGCTCTGGGGTCCTGGGCTCAATTCCAGACCTGGGGTGCTGTCTGTGTGGAGTTTGCATGTTCTCCCCCCGTATTCACCTGGGTTTCCTCCCAAGCAACCGAAGCCATGCTGGTGGGGTAACTGGCTTCTGGGAAAAAGAGCCCTGGTGTGTGTGTGTGTCTGTGTGTGAGCCCTGTGATGGACTGTTGTCCTGTCTGGGGTGTACCCCACTATCCTGGTAGGAGAGGCTCCAGCCCCCACATGACCCTGAACTGGAGGCAGCAGTGAGAAAATGGATGGATGGATAGTTGCACTGTAGGGGTTGGAAATTTCCCGACAGCCAGCGGGGTGGGTGAAAGCTCACCCGCAAAATACTGGGCTTGAAAACGTGGTCAGCTGCGCCCTCTAGTGGAACATAAGAACAACTTATTTTAAGTTCTAGAGTTTCGCTGACGTGGGGGTTCTCATCTCAACTCTGGTCCCCCGCCGAGTGACTTTCATCCCAGCTGTGCCCGCAGTTCTATACTTGAACCCGTAACTGATCTAATCATAAGATCGATCCGAACTTTTAAACTGTTTTTTTTTCAATTCCTAAACCTAAGTTGGGAAGCGACTGTTGGGATTCGTTAGGGCTTCAATCGAACAAAGAGCTCGGCTGGGAGAAAATCAGACAGGCGTGAGGCTCCCCAAAACCAGGACCGAGACGCCCTGCGCTCACACACACACACACAGCCTGACCGCTATGTGCGACTGGGATGAATAACAATTTGTCGCAAATACTGCAAGAGGTGACGGGATCTCCTGGGAACCTCTGCGAGAAAGGCCGAGAGCAACTGGTGGCACGTCTCCTCTGACTGTACAGCTCTTACTTTGCATGAGATCTGGAAATGCAGGTTTGAGCGGGACCGGAGTGAAGGCCAGGGGCGTGTTCTGGGAAGAAGACCGGACCCGGCCGATTTGAAGGACGCCCTGACCGAGCTGGACAACATTCTGAGACCCGAACGGGCTGCAGGAGACCGGGTTGTCCTGTGAAATCCCGGGTTCCCCTCGCTCCTGTACCTCACAGGAAGCTTTCATAGTGAAGTCGTAAAGCATGACCCAGAATGAACGCGCAGCCCTTGCCGAAAGACGACAAGAGTAAGTGAGGAAAATGAATTTTTAATTACTGAACCCTGTTTTGCAGCACAGGTCTTCTTAAGCAGGTTTGATCATTGAGAAACAGGAGCGCCGGAGTCTCTGTAGGTTTTCCAGGTCTCTTAAAGCAACAGCACCTGGTGAGTCTGGTCCAATGAACCCATTTAGGATATAAGTGAGCTTGCTAAGCGCTAAGTGAGAACCTGCAGGCACACTGGACCCTCCAGAACCAGGACGGGACATCCTTGCTGTGGAGAAAGCTGAGCCTTGCCGGACCATGTATTAATTACATATAGACGTGTATTAACACACTTCAGAAAGTTTGCCGTTTGAAAGCAGGAGCGTTTTGCAACGTATCAGGTGTTACCAATAGGCGTCTGTGTTCACAAGAAGCTTCTTCATGAGACGTCTTCAGTTCAAGACCTTCACTTACTGTATGATGGAGGCGTTTTAAGGAAGTAATAAGACTGCGTCAGACAAAGCAGAACCATTTTTATCGATTTTATATGATATAATACAGTATTATTTAAAACAAATCAGGGGCGGTGTGCGTGACAGCTCTCGCCTGTGTTTTCCGCAGCGAGATAACGACACTGCCGGAGTTGGAGAGTCTTACATACGGTAAGCGCTTTGTTTGTACGGACTGGGATGACTAAAACAAGATGGAATGCTTATTTTTGATTTTGTAACAGTATTTTTTTGTTCTGCAATCAGCTCCATATTCTGGCGCTCCATAAATGCTCATGACGGAGTGGGGTGACAGGATTAATCCAGCGGGCCAGAAGGGTTCTGATTTTCTTTTCACCTGAACACTAATTAACTAATTGACCTCATTATTTGCTTAAATCAGACATGTCCAAGCCTTTCCTTGCTCTTACCAAGCTGGAAATATAGAAAGAACTATAAGACCTGCTGTCTCTTGAGGAACAGATTTGGGCTCCACGTGTTTAAGGACAGGGGTGTCCAGTCCTGGTCCAGGAGGGGTCAGTGTGTGTCTGCAGCAGGGGTGTCCAGTCCTGGTCCTGGAGGGGTCAGTGTGTGTCTGCAGCAGGGGTGCCCAGTCCTGTTCCAGGAGGGGGCGCTGTGCCCTGTCCTGGTCCAGGAGGGGGTTAGTCAGTGTGCCTGCAGGTTTTCTAGGTCTTTAAAAGCAGCGGCAGCTGATGAGCTGATAGAAGCTGTTCCATTGGGCACCATTAAGCCAGGAACGAGCGGGCTAGGTCATTAAGCGCAGCTTCCCCCAGGACCCGGACTGGGCAGCACTGTTGAGTCGTGGCTCCGGATACCGACGGAAATTAAAAACGCCGTCGTTTTGTTTCGCAGTGCTGAACGTGGAACAGAAGCTCCGCGACGCGTCGAAAACCAACGACGTCGAGACACTTCTCAGCCTGCTGAAAAAAGCCGTGGACGTCAATGCCGCCGATGTTGTGAGTTCATAACAGGCGGGCGCTGGTCGCACCTCAATTCATTCAGATTTCAGCCACAGTTGTGACACATTTAGCTGCACATAACTGCTACAAACGATTTATCCGGAGCTAATTCCTTATGACAATTGTGATATAATCTAACTATTAATAAGCGTTTAAAAACAGACTCAAGGAACAGACGTCTTTTTAGTCTCGAACGGAGTTGCAGGGATTCAAAAAAGAACAGTGGAACACAAACCAGAGCTCACAAGTGGAAACTTTGTCAAATTAAAAAGTGAGGACTGGCGGCCCCTCTTTACACAGAGGGTGGTGGGAGTGTGGAACAGGCTACCCAGCCATGTGGTTGAAGGCAAAACTTTCCATTCGAGGAACAGCTCGGTGGGATGAATGGCCTCCATAACTGTTTATACCTCTTATCCTTGTCATGGCATAATAATAATAATAATAATAATAATTGCTTACACTTATATAGCACTTTTTCTGGAAACTCCACTCAAAGCGCTTTACAGGTAATGGGGACTCCCCTCTACCACCACCAATGTGCAGCCCCACCTGGATGATGCGACAGCAGCCATAGTGCGCCAGAACGCTCCCCACACATCAGCTATCAGTGGGGAGGAGAGCAGAGAGTAATGAAGCCTATTCATAGATGGGGATAATTAGGAGGCCATGATTGGTAAGGGCCAATGGGAAATTTGGCCAGGACGCCGGGGTTACACCCCTACTCTTTTCGAGAAACGCCCTGGGATTTTTAATGCCCACAGAGAGTCAGGACCTCGGTTTTACATCTCATCCGAAGGACGGCGCCTGTTTACAGTATAGTGTCCCCGTCACTACACTGGGGCATTAGGACCCACATGGACCGCAGGGTGAGCGCCCCCTGCTGGCCCCACTAACACCTCTTCCAGCAGCAACCTTAGTTTTTCCCAGGAGTCTCCCATCCAGGTACTGACCAGGCTCACACCTGCTGAGCTTCAGTGGGTTGCCAGTTGTGAGTTGCAGGGTGATATGGCTGCTGGCATAGTCTTTGGATATACAGTGAGCTAGGATTGTCAGTACCCTGAACTTGAACTTTATTGCCATATGTAACCGGTACTGGTTCAATGGAATTCTTACTTACTGAAAGTCTCTCGATTGTAAAACAAGTGTAAAAAACAAGACAAAGTGGAAACAGTGCATCAAGACAATGTACAAACAGACAATAGACAATGTGCAAGTAAACATGTAGACAGTTTGAATGTAAACAATACAGATGTGTAAACAGTGACTGGAGATGTGCAATAGATAAGAAATCATAAAGAGGTAGATGGTGATGGTGTAGGTGTGGTCCGAGGGGGGTGGGTAAATGTGTTCGCTAGTCTCACTGCTTGTGGGTAGAAGCTATTGAAGAATCTAGTGGTCAGTGTCCGTGTGCTCTTGTATCTCTTGCCTGTCTTCAACTGTCTCTAAGCCTCAGCTCTTGTGCATAAGAGGCTGTGGCTGACACAATTCCAGGTGTTTTTAGACTCAAGTCAAAAGCAGTTAAGGAAAGTCATGAACCGGAGGACTTGTAGAAACCAGGGGAAAGGGCATTAAGTCAGTTTACGCAAAGTGAGGTAGGGGTGTGGAACAAGTCTTTTTAGTCATGTTGTTGAAGGTGACAATTAGGTTTCTTTCAAGACATAGCTAGACAAGTTCCTTAGATGAATTAGCTACTAGCATGTTAACTCTGGTGTCTTGGCAGGTGGGTAGGGTGGCTCTACACTGGGCGTCAGCCAAGGGGCAGGAGCCAGCAGTCCACATCCTGGTAGATCACGATGCAGATGTAAACACAGAGGACAAGGTGAGAACTTGGCGCAGTGCTCAAGCTTGTCTGGCAGTATTTAGCTGATTTGTAAACCCTCATTGGTCAGCATTGTGGCATAGCCTTTTGCATTGCTGCCCCCTGAATCATGGGTTCAATGAAGATATCTCCATCTGTGTGGAGTATGCATGTTTTTAGGGGTGGTGGTTTCCTCTTTGCCCCCAAAGGAGGCTTACACCACTTGCGCTATTTTGGATTTATCTGTTAGAAACTGTCCTGTTGTCCCTGGCACTGTGATGAGCTGATGCCCCGTTCAGACTCTGGATTGCTGTGGCCGTCACTAGGAGAAGTGGCACTTCAAGTTAAACAGTCCTGCTAAATCTGACATGATCCTTCCATTTTGGATCGGAGATGGTATCCGCTTGACAAAACCATCAGGAATTGTACTGTATGGAGCCAAGAAGGAGTACAAAATGGGTCTAAAAGCCTAAATGCCTGTCAAATCTTTCAACCCATAGCTGAATGCAATTTCTCTTGAAAAGGTTCAGACAAGATGGAGGGTCTTGTGTGAACTACATTTCCCAGAAGGCTGTGGGCAGTGACCCACCATCCTTGGTCACCTGACTGCCTGGTGTAAGATAATTGGTCAAGCGAGAATTTGAAAACCAGGAAGTGGAGCCTCCCTGCTCTCTCAAAGTGAGCTCTCTCACCCTCTTGTCAAGTCCTACTCAGCCATAGGCTAGAGTTGATGAGTTATCTGAAATAATTATTGAGTTAATGGCTCTAAATTACCACTGTGCTCAATTCTTTAGCACAATTAAATGAAACCTGCAGGGTTTATGACCCAGGACTGGGACGAGGGATTGCCAAATTGCTTTTTGTTCTTCAGTTCCCGCTGTGTTCTCTCCTAGTATGGAATGACCCCAGCTCTCTATGCCACCTGGTTTGGACACCTCCAGATCCTGAAAATCCTGGTCAGCGCTGGAGCTGTTATCCCACACACAAACATGGTAATCCCTCCAGGATCAGGACTGAACAGGTCCAGATCCAATCAGAACCTGGATCCGCTTGACATCAAAACACTTAAGGATGAGCTTTTCAGGTCAAAAAGCCTTTGGCAGACAGCTAGTGGGTCCAAGTTGTTTTTTTGTGATTCTGGGTTTTCGTTTTTGCATCTGCAGCTGCTCGTAGCTCATTGATCTCAATGTCTCATGTATTGTAGCTGTTGCATGAGGGATTCTAGGACATATGTACTAGAATCCCTCAGAGAAGCGTGTTCCAGACTCCTACAGTGCTTTGGGTAAAAGGTGCCCATGATCTCAATCAGAAAAGCCCTTACTTGGTTTCTGCTTGAGTCCTCTAGTTAGTGCTTCAGTGTTAATCCTGAAGAGCACATTGGCTGAGTTTATTAATACTGCTAGTTTTAAGTCAAGTGTCAAGTCAGCTTTTGGGCTTGTTAGTTCAAGACTTTGCGTTTCAGTTCTTTAAGCTGCCAATATAGAGCATTTCAATGTATTTCAACTACTCCTAAGTCAGAGAAGAAGAGGCACTATCTTTACACAAAGGGTGGCGGGAGAATGGAGCGAGCCACCCAGCCACATTGTCCAAGCTTCCTTCGAGCGCCGCTTGGCAGAATTGATGCTGGGATCAACGAGGCACTAACAGCCGAACAAGTCACCTTCTTATGCACTTGTGACGTCAGTTTTGCTGCCTTTTTTGTTTTTTAATCCCGCATGTCCGGCAGAGTGGCCAGGGGTTACTGCACTGTGCCGCAGCGCGTGGGCGGCTGGACATCGTGGAGTACATCCTGGAAGAGCTGGAGGACAACGGCCTGGACAGGCCAGATGAGGTGAGCCCTGAGTCTCTGAGGCGCCACTGCAAACAAAGAGTTTAGCGTTGTCTATACAGCAGCCAGCACCCCCAGCTTACACTACAGACTGCAGGGTGGGACATCCTGGCAAGAAGGGGAATTAATAGCCAGGACACAAGATTATATTTTCCAGTCTTATTTATACACAAGGAGCACCACTTCTCAAATGTTCTCAAATGTAAATTAAATTAAACCAAACCTCTTTTTCATCTAAAGCTCTTACTTGCTTCTTTAAACTTGTTATAAAGGCTGAGCTGCCTCAGGTCCCTCTGCTGTAACTATGACTTGGTCTCTTTGGAAAGTGAGATCTTTTGGAAAGGTGGGGTGAAACCGGAAGACTTGCAGAACATGCAAGCTCCACACAGACAGACACCCCAATCTGGACTCAAACTCAGGACCCCAGACAGGGCAGCACTGATTCCCAAGCTGCCTTGCCTGCATGCTTAAAAACAGAATCACAGAGAGATTATGGTGAAACGCTGAGCAGTAAGATCCAGAGATATCGATCAAGCTTTTTATTTGCGGGTTGGCAGCACAGTTATGCTAACCGCAAGTTTTTTTTTCCTTGGGGCGTTTCTTGCAAGTTCCCTGCAGGGAGGACAGGACTTGAGACTTGCGCTGTGAAAAATAGCAGTTGTTTGACTGTGTCCCCAGCATGACAAGACCCCATTCCTGCTGGCAGCTGAAAATGGAAAACTGAACACTCTGCAGTGCCTTCGCCAGCGGGGCTGTAACATCAAGGCGATGGACAAGGTAATGCTGTTTTATCTGTCTCGTTTTCACATGCCTACCATTCTCAATGAGTGAACAAGGAGTCGTGCAGCCATGGAGATTCATCTCGAATTCTTATGAGAAAGGGATAATGGTCATGTGTTATGACCATGTGTTAAAATTGTACAGGGTGTCTCTGAATCATTATCTAGACTATTGTGTCCCATGTGTCCCACCAGCAACTGGATGCATTCTGAGTCTGAAGGGAGTGTCCCACACTGACATGCTGGAGGAACTGAGTCTCTTTAGTCCGAAGGGAGTGTCCTGCACTGACAGACTGGAGGAACTGACTCTCTTTAGTCTGAAGGGAGTGTCCCACACTGACAGACTGAAGTAAATGAGTCTCTTTAGTCTGAAGGGAGTGTCCTTCACTATGTAAATAATGCCACCGGTGCTGCATGTTACTGACATCCTCTTACTCCTGTCAATTTTAGGAAGGCAACAGTGCCCTTCACCTGGCAGCAAGCTCGGGTCACCCCTCCGTAGTGCGTGAGCTCATGAACGCCCTGGATCTTGAGGTTACCAACCAGGTACAGCTCTTTATCGAAGATCAGTCAGTAGTATATAATAAAGCACTTTAACTCTTCTTCCCCGAGTCTCTCCAGCTGGATCAATCATTACCAGTCTGGACTAGCATCCCATCCCAAGAGGCTAGACATGAAGATTAAGCCCAAATCACTAGCCCATAGGAAGGGGTGCAGGAGGAAATGGGTTAAATAGATCTAGGTGGTACAAACCTCTGACTGGAATTCTGGGTGTGAAAACATTGGTCAGAGGAGGTCAGAGAGGCTGGAGAATTTCCAAATGTGGGTCTCATCCTCTTACCACCTTAAGAAATATTGAAATCAACCTTTATTGCCCCTGGGAAATTTGTCTTGCACATCAAGAGCTCATATCATATATGACAACAGTACAATACAGCAACAGTACTATAACATGATACAGAACAACCTTCACCAGCATTGCTCAGCTTTAGCAGGAAGTCAGTGGAGCAAGAAATACATAGAAGGTGCAGAGAAGTTGTATTGTTCTTGCTATCATGCTGGAGGAGGTTCCCACGCGTTGTTAAAGTTGCAGGTTTCGAACCAGCGGGCTGGGTAGGAATGTCTCCAGGCAGGATTACCTGTAAAGGAATTTGAGTGGTGTGTGCAGGAAAGTGCTATATAAGTGTAAGGTTTATTATTAAAAGTGAAGTGACGTGAAAACAAGAGAAGGAAATCCTGTTCTTTTTTAAAAAAAAACAGATCAAGAGCTGAGATTACAATGTTGGCTATTGTCTTTGCTCCACATGTTTCTGCGTCCCATTTTTACTGCGAAAAGTGGTGTTTAACAAGTGTTTAACACTGGATGTACATTCTCAAGTGCAAAATTGGGGCTAATTGGATTGCTACAATTCCTGTCAACCCCTGCATGCTCTCCTCAGGAAGGGAAGACGGCTCTGCTCCTGGCTACAGAGACTGGCCAGACCAGCTGTGTGGAGGCCCTCCTGACCGCTGGCTGTGACGTCAACACGCTGAGCAATGTAGGGTGGACACGGGGCTGGGCGCTCTCCTGGTTACTAAAGCACCATGCTCCACTCAGCCTAAACAACATCACTGGGCAGAACATTAGGGTTTACAGAGCCTAGGAGACCGCTGGGAGCAGCTGATCCATTTGGAAGGAAGTAGATGACTGATCCCAGGACCTCCTCCAACTGTGTCTTGAAAGAAGCCAGGGTAAAAGGCTTCTGCGTCGTGTCTGGGCGGCTTGGTCCACACCCCCACCACCCTCTGTGTACATCGGTACCTCTTGTCCTGACTGGAGGTGCTCATCCAGATGTGTCTTGAAAGAAGCCAGGGTATGGGCTTCAACAACAGGGCTGGGCAGCTTGTTCCCCACCCCCACCACCCTTAACGATGCTGGGGCCAAACAGTAAACATTCACTCGACTGCGATTGCCCTCCCCCAGGTCTGAGCACCCCAGCAGTGCTTGCTTATAAGGGGTATTGGGGTGTAATGATTGTATACCCGGGGTCTCAACCCTGTTCTCAAACCAGCAGTTCACTTCAATGGGCCACTGAGCATTGGAGCATAATACTGTATATAATCCCATCTGCTGCATCATTTTGTCCTTTTTGTGCTGTTTTATTGTACATGGAAGGTCAATGTGTAATATCTAATGATATCAAGATCCCTGAAAGGATGCATTGAAACACACTGATCCTAATATTGAGCATAGCAGTTTGATCTCCCAGAACTCATTTTCTCTTTTTCCGTTCCCGTCCAAGAGTCGCAAATGAATAAGAAGAACTGCAACTCATTTTGCTCTGATTCTGTGATTCGAGTAGTTGCTCACACAGTTTGGTGAATAGTGAGGAGGGGCTGGAGGTTAAAAGCTTTTTTAAAAAGATTTTCATGTGATTTTTTTTTTCCCCTGATCTGTCCGATGGGGTGCTTGCTCGGGTGTTTAAGGCCTCGGCTGCTCCACACGCCTGCTCCTAATCGCTTTGGCTTCGCCTCCCCTCCCGGAGGGAAGAGCTGCTGGTACTTTACTGGCGTAGGATCTCCCGCTGGGCTGCAGCTGGCCGATTCTCGGACCCGGGACGGTGTGGGCCTCTGTCCTCTGCTGCTCCTGGGGTGAATCGTGTCCGATTGCATATTTTCAGCACCAAGGGGTGGGGGGGTAGCAGGAGGGCACGGCGGCCAATAACCGCCATTTATTTTTCAATCACGGCCGTCTCCTGTCTCCTCCGCATGCCCCCCGCCAGACAGGCCACGGCGCTCTGCACTGCGCTGCGCAGAAGGGACAAGCAGGGATTTGCAGGCTTCTGCTGGACAGCGGAGTGGACACCAGCACTTCATCCACGGTGAGGCCTTCGTCTCGTGCGCCGGAAGCACGGATTTTATAGACCGGGTTTGGATCGTTTCATAGAGGAGGCCCCATCCCCTCCTTCATTCGACACCTTTCGAGCTGTTTTCTGCGGACAAGCTGTGTTGTGCCACATCAATGGGTTGAAATACCCTGGACTGTATTGCAATTGATCTGAGCTCCTTCCATTTTGCCCATTTAGTAATAACATGGCTGGGCAGCTTGTTCCATTCTCCAACCACCCTTTGTGTAAAGAGGTGCCTCCTCTTCTTGGGTTTTAAATGCAGTTCCACCCAAAAGTTTCCTGGCGTTCTAAAACCCAGGAAAGAGGGGAAGGTAGAGCTAAAAACATGTAATCCGCTGTGCCCAGCGCTGAGGTCCAGTGCCTGAACAGTGAATTTGGCATTGATGTTTAGGCTGGGCTGATATTCATCTTGAATGCACGTTCTGCATTGTCCCACTGCTTTATAGTGATGTGCCTGTTCTTGTTCAGACGCCTCTTCACCTGGCTGTGATGAACAACTATCCCGATATAGTGCAGATGTTCACTGAGGCCGGCTGTGATCTCAACACCAGAGACGAGGTGAGCCAATCAATCAACTGGCCAAACGCAGGGAACAGGATAAGGAGTGGAAGACTTTCAGTCTAAAATTAATTGCAGTTCTCTCTGTCGCTAACTACACTACAGCACTTGCTGTCCATAAACTATCCATCAGTTTTCTAAGTGCTTTATCCAATACAGGGTGGCAGGGGAGCCCAAGCCTTCCCCTGCCAGCAGGGAGCAAGGCAAGGTGCCTGGACAGGACACTGGACCATCGCAGCCCACTCACACACACACCTGGGCCAGTTTTCCCAGAAGCCAATTAACCTCCCAGCATGTCTTTGGACTGGGGGAGGAAACCAGAGCACCTGAAAGGAAACCTACACGAACTCAGGGAGAACATGCAAACTCCACACAGACAGCACCCCAGACCCGGAATTGTGCTCGGGGAAACACTGTGCCACCTGTACACAAACTACTTCAAACTTCAAATCACATTATTCCTGTTGCAAATGTCCCTCAGAATGGCCAGACTGCCCTGCACGTGGCAGCCGAGTTGAGGAGACTGGAGATCACCGAGGTGCTTCTGAAAGCCAACGTGCTCCTGGACCTGAAGGATAAGGTAAGACTGGCCATGGCCAGCCCTCGAACAGAGAGGAGAATCCCCCCCAATCAATAGAATAGACCAGAGCGAGTCGTGGAGTGGACAGTCCACTCCAGTACAGCACCTGAGAACAGCCATCTAACTTAACATAACATCACTTGATTGGCCCTATACAATTTCTTGCATTAGGAATTTGTCTTTTCGCATACCCCACCTTGCTCTCCATGAGACACACAGACAGGGAGAGAAGATGGGGGTCAGAGCACAGGGTCAGACATTTATATGGCGCCCCTGGAGCAGCTGGGGTGAAGGGCCTTGCTCAGGAGCCCAACGGAGTAGGATTCCTCTGCCGGCTGTGGGATTTGAACCAGCAACTTTCCAGCCACAGGTGCAGATCCTGAGCCCAGAGCCACCGCTCCACCGCTCTCTTTGGTTATTTAAAATAACAACTAATTAGCATACTCAATGAAAGAGGTGTCTGTCGCGAGGGCTTGGAATGGGTAAGATCCTGCTGTATTTAAGAGCTCCAAGACTAGGCTCAGCCTCAGTGGCAAGTGTGATTGGGCAGAAGAAGATGATTTCTGATGCCTTGCCTGGCCAGAGCAACCACATTCCCCCTTCAGATCTCAGCCCTGTTGAAGACCTGGAACCCATGAGCAATATCACTGTTATTGCTGTTCTGTAGCACGCACTTTCCCTCTTCATCTGAACAGCAGCTGAGGGACTTTCTGATGCCCAGAACTACAAGTTTAGTGCCATCTCAGCTCTGACATTTGTATTTGATCCCCGAATATTTAATTTAATCACCAACTAGGGAAGGCTTGAATAGGTGCCAATCAAGCAATTAACTCCATGAAGGGTTCAGTTTATTAACTTTGAGCTCAGCTGGAACTGTGATTTTCCTGTACAGGCTGACTGGATGAAGGAACCGAGCCTTTTCTCGAACAGGACGATCACGAGGAGGCACGGTATTCAAAATCAGATTCAAAAAGGCACTGACAACAGTCGGCCCAGGGGCTTCCTTAAAAATGAACCGTGAAACATAAACCAGAGGAAACGAAGTGGAAGTGCATTAGCAGTACGAACCAGGGGAGGGCTCTTCTTTACGCAAAGGGTGGCAGGAGTGTGGAACAGGCCACCCAGCCATGGTGGCTGAAGCCAAAACTTTGGTTTCAGTTCAAGGAACAGCTGGATCAGATCCTCAGATCAATCAGCTTCCAAGGTGAACAAAAAAAACGGGTCCGACTGGTTGAATGCCCCCCTCTCATTTGTGGCTTGTGGAAGGAAAGCCAGCAGGAGTGCGTATGTTTCCGAGTACCAGTGTTGGACAGCGTGGACAACTAGCAGAATGAGTTTCAGCTACAGATTTCAAAGTCCTGTTCAATTCTTGCTCGCTGCTCGGCCTTTAGGTCTGGAAGTTTTTGTAGTACTTCAGCCAGTGATTATCTTCCTGTCTGTCTGTTTCTTCCAGAAAGACCGGGACCCTCTGGATCTGGCCATCAGGGGCTACTATGCCAATGTAGTGGACACGATCATAAAGGCCGAGCGCTTCTACAAGTGGAGACGGGTGAGTCTGGGAAGGGCGACAGCATGTGGCCTTTAAATGCAACACAAAGTGCTGAAAGCACACCAGAGGAAGGCTTTCTGCCTAAGACACTGCGATCAGCAGCACTGGAGTGCACTGAAATGTTTCATATAGCGCCTTCCGCGACGCTGAAGACCAATGAAACTCTTTAAAGTGGGATGCACCTTCAGAAAGCAGCCAGCATGCAACCCACAGCTCGGCACGCTGCGGAGGTCGGACTGCTTAAGATCTGATCACTTTATTGGCCCTGTACAATTTCTTGCATTAGGAATTTGTCTTTTCTCAGACCCCAGCTTGCTCTCCATGAGACACACAGACAGGGAGAGAAGCTGGGCGTCGGAGCGCAAGGTCAGCCATTTATACAGCACCCCTGGAGCAGCTGGGGTTAAGGGCCTTGCTCAGGGGCCCAACGGAAATGGCTCTCTGCCATCCGTGAGATTTGAACCAGCAACCTCCTAAACCCCAGCCACAGAGCCACTGCACCACTCGCCTGCTTTGCGCTAACCCCCAGGCCTGTGTGTGTTCAGGAGTCGGAGCCCGGCCCGAGCTCGGAGGTCCAGTTAGACTTCGCCCTGGACCACCTCCGGGAGCCCCGGCCGGTCCGCTCGGTGCTGTGGACGCTGGCCGAGAGCTACCTGCAGCCGGGAGAGTGGAAGAAGCTCGCCGACTACTGGCAGTTCCCAGTCAGGCACGTCAAAGCCATCGAGAGTCAGTGGACTGGTCAGTGGGGCAGGACTCAGTACAGCAGGGGTCAGCGGCCTGGGGGATAGCTGGGTTCTTCTGGGTTCATTGCAGCACTGAATTCAATGAATTAATAATTGATCAGCAGCCTAATTAGTTGGCGTGATCCTTAGCCACTGACTCCATTTTAAGGTTCCTTTGAATGAGTCTCACTGAGAACAATAAATGTACAGGGGAAAATATTCAATGGATGTTATAGATGTATACAATTAATAAGCAATTATACAAATAATATGTATAATTTACATTATATTGTAACACTGGTATACAATCCAGTGTTACAATGTAAGATTCAAGTTTGAAGCATAAGACTCAGCTGTGAGCTGCATGCATATACATTCTGTAAATGCAGTGCTCTGAAGGGGCTCATACATCAGGAGTAATGAAACTCGGAATGGATGGCTTCTTTAAAATGTTTTTTTTAACTCCTCTGAAACGTCGTCTGGGTGGTAACTTCTCAAACTGGACGTGAAAACGTCACCCTGCAGCTCCCAGCTGGCTGCCCACTGGAGCTCAGCAGGTGTGAGTCTGGCCAGTACCTGGATGGAAGACTCCTGGGAAAGCTGAGGCTGCTGCTGGAAGAGGTGTTAGTGGACGAGTAGGGGGCGCTCACCCTGAGATCATTGTGGGTCCTAATGCCCCAGTATAGAGACGGGGACACTGTACTTTAAAAAAGGCGCCGTCCTTCAGATGAGATTTAAAACTGAGATCCTGACTCTCTGTGGTCATTAAAAATCTCAGGGTGTTTCTTGAAAAGAGGAGGGGTGTGACCCTGGTGTCCTGGCCCTAACCAGTCATGGCCTCCTAATAATCCTCATCTCTGAACTGAATTCATCACTCTGCTCTCCTCCCCACTGAGAGCTGGTGTGTGGGGAGCGGACTGGCACATCATCCAGGTGGGGCTGCACACTGGTGGTGGTGGTGGGGATCCCCATTACCTGTAAAGTGCTTTGAGTGGAGGGTCCAGGAAAGCACTATATAAGTGTGAGGCATCATTCAATATTAACATTGCTTGCTCCTGGTGTAGATGTGGGTCAGCTGGTTGTCTTACTGAGTAGTGATTTTGACTCCCACCTGACCAAGTGGAGATGTTAAGGAGATCCTGCTCTCTACCAGACTTGTGTAGGGCAACTCTGGGATGTAATTGCTTGCATCAGAGTTCCTCAACCTTCTCAAGAGAAATGATCTCTGCATTGCTTATGGAATGTCACAGACAGATTTGGTTAAATAAGAAACAAACCCCATTAGGAAATTACTTAATTGATTTTTAACTACGTAATGAGGTATCATAGACCACTAGCAATATAAACTTAAATCCCTTTACTTGCCTGTCAGAAACCCCAGACGATTTGAAAGGATTGTCATCATTTTCAAAACTGTTCTGATATATATTCCCATATGTATCCATTCCAATAAAATGTGCCCTTGTCAATCTGAAGGTGAAAATCACGTGTTCCTCTTGAAAACCCCCAAAATCTAAAGAAAAGCTATGGAATATGACATCATTTTGAAAGGGAAATGAATTGTAATTTCAAAATATATGTATAGGTTTATAGGAACCCTTTAAGACAGTAGTGACCACTGTCCAGCAAGTCTGTAGGTCCCCAGTTTAGTTTTGCTCAATTTATAGTGCAGTTAATTGGTTCATGTCTCCTGGGAATGGCTAGCTGTGGTCACTGGGAGCAAGGGCATGGGGGGATTTTCAAATTAAACTAGTCACAGGCGGCACTGAGATGCAGTTGTCAGCATTGCTGCTTACAGCCATGGGGCCCTGGATTTAATCCGGCATCTGGCGTGCGGTCTGTGTGGAGTTTGCATGTTCTCCCCTTGTTCGTGTGGGGCTCCTCCAGGTGCTCTGGTCTCCTCCCACAGTTCACAGACATACTGGTAGGTTATCAGGCTTCTGGGGAAGCTGCCCTGGTGCGATTGGCTCGGTGTGTACCCTGTGATGGACTGGTGTCCCGTCCGTCTGCCCAAGCTGTTCTCCTGCTGCTTTTCGAGAGCCTCTTGCCGTTGGCTGACAAAATGCAAAATGAGTGTTTGCTTTTCCCCAAATTCCTTGCAGGTAACCGGAGCTATAAGGAGCATGGCTTCCGAATGTTCCTGATCTGGCTCCATGGAATCACTGCGGAGGGGAAGCACCCGATCAGAGAGCTGTACGAGGGGCTGGTGGGCATAGGGAACAGGACGTTGGCAGGTACGGTGAGCTTGGCACACCTCCCTGATGCTGGCACGATCGTCACTGCTACAGGGCTGCCCAGCCCAAGATCTTCATGACCCGTGTCCGCTGGGTTAAGATCCGGCTGTGACTGAAACCTTTATCGTTAGTAGTTGACCAAGCAGCCTGACTTTCTCTCAGCTCTGCAACTGAAAGAGATTTCAGATTTACCTGGATGTACCTGCGACAAAAGTTAAAACTGCAACTTGTTTTGGAGCAGAAATCTAAAAATCAGAAGGCAGCTTGCTGACAGGATGACATCCGTGCTTTTCAGTTGTTCTCCATATGACATGAAGAGGCCTACAATTCCAAAAAAAACTGGGGTTCACTGAGTGGCCCAGCCACTAAAAGTGGTCACAGACTGAGGCCTATAATTCACACTTTAACCACTAACAGTGATGGAGATGCTTCACACTGTTCCCCTCTGCTGGCCAGGTGTCCCTGGGGCTGGCATAGCTTGTATCAGGGCTCCCCACCCGGGAGCACCCCGGGGACTTGTCATGGCACTTGCAAGTTGGCAGTTCTGTCAGTGAGAGCAGGACAACTCCTGCCATCATCCACCTGAGTGCAAGCCCTGATCTTAGCCAGTCATGAACCTTTGAGCACGCCCTGATCTTAGCCAGTGGTCCACCTGGGAGCAAGCCCTGATCTTAGCCAGTGGTC